GTATAAAATTATTTTATTTTATAAGTAAAAAAGTTATTTTATCATTAGATTATAAATTTATTTGGTTGTAAAATATGTAGTTTTTCAATAAATAAAAATAATATTATTTTTGTCTTAACTTCTATTTGATATCCATAAAGAGAATATTTGGTTTTATTTTATATGTGATTTTGTCTCTACTCTTTTTTTATAGCAGATGAGAATAAAAATGTCTCTACTCTTTTAAGATATTTTACCCTTAAATAACATTAAAAAAAAAAAGTAAAGGTAGTCACGGATCCAGTTCAATCTAAAAAATTGATGAATCTAAATTAATTCAAATTGAAACAATCAAAATGTTTAAAATCAGTTGCTTGGATTGGATAAAAAATTAAAAAATCAATGAGTTGAATCAAATTACAGATCTAATGTTGAAAATTCAATTTAATCTAATCTAACCAATCAATTATTTATATGTTATTGTTTTTCTATATTTTTAGCACTAACTAAACCATGGGACAATTTTTTTCTCATGGTACAACACTAAATGATACATCAATATAACACAAGTGCAACTGCATAAATGATATATCAACATTCAAAAAGTTAATGACACTCCCTTACTCATTTTTTGTGTGGTTATTATCAGAATAATGTTATAATTATATCAGCATTCATTATAATATTAAGAATATATCAAACCATAATATATTAAATTATAATGTGTAATATTTTATTTATAATATAATAAAAATTATTATATAATAAAATATTAGAACATAGATAATTAAATGATAACTATTAAAATAATCAAACTCATTCCAGCCATCCCTACGCCCAAAAAAAAAAGCCACGTGGCAACGGTGTCGCTATGGCCCATAGCGACACCATTGTAAACAGCTCCAAAGGCGTAAATAAATTCAAAACAGTTCCACGTAAATAACTTGGTCAACGACCTCACTTTGATCAAAAAGCCTTGTTTTAATCACTACCGAAGAATGTAAAATTTGTGGGTGCATGTACGTATACTCAAACGTTTCGTTTCGTTTCGAGGGCCAAAATATGACAGACCGTGTATAGAAGCCAAAAAATGTACTCCCTAATTAATGTGTAAGAAACATTTTCCTACAAATTAAATACCCTATGCCTAGTGCAAGAACCACTCTGAATCATTTCAAACTTTCTTCTAATATGACCATTTCTATAAATATAAATAAAAGTACATCCACTTCTAATTTAATTTAAAGTAAAATTGTAGAATAAATACTTTTACACCATTTATTTTATAATTGAGGTATAATCATGCTCCTTATAAGGAGCTTTTCGCATTCTTTTTAGTTGCTTCTTTTGTATCTCTCCTCTTCACATTCGACCAAAATTATCCAACAGTGCATAAACCAGCCTTTTATTCAGCGATATGGAATGGCTTGCAAATTAAACCTGTAAAATAGAACGAAGCTGAGTGATATTGGTTTTGCTATTGAGTGCCTTTTGAGAAGAAGTGACTTCTAATTAGGAACAAAAGATGGATAAGATCTCTCGTAATGCAACAGAAGAGGATGATGAGAAGGCCACCTTTTTAAACACTATATTCTCTTGGAATCTTAATAATTAAGGATGCTATCAACGAAGATCTATACAAACATAAGGCTCTTTTAGATTTTTTTAACAGTCAGCGAAAAATTTGGTTTCATCAAAATAATCTGTCCCAAAATCTCATTTATTTGACTCTTTTTTTTATATTCTCCATTTATTTGATTTTTTTTTTTTTTTACTGTCTCTTAGTTGATTAAGTATATGAAATTTCTTTACGTAGGGTTATTTTTCAAATGTTTTGATTTGTGTGAAAGATATACTTAATTAACTTTACTCGACCGGGAGATTATCTTTTTATATTCTTCCTTTCTCTATGTTTACTACTTTGATGTTTAATTTATCAGGAACGTAAAATGTCAGTAAATTAAAGTGTCGTGAAGCAAATATTATTTTTTCAAAAAGAAATATTAAAATACTTTAAATTTAGATTTTTTTAATACTTATTAAATCTTATTCCCATTGTGTAATTACAAAAATTATAAAAGCATACATAAATATAATCTTTTAGCTACCTGTGACTATTATCACATGTTTGCATCAGGATTGTTTCCGATTATATTCTTTAATCTATGAATAAAGGTACATTTATACTTCATTCTATTTGAAACCTTGAAAGGGAAAGGTAGAAAATATAAATATATAAATATATATATATATATACACATATGGTATATATATATATATATATAATAAGTGTGATTGATATGATAAATGAAATAGGTGTGTAAAAAAAATTATTCATTTAGCAGATAAATATAAAATAATATAAAAAAATTTAAATAATTATCGTATTAGAATTTATATTAATTTTGAATTGTTCAGTTTTTTAATAAAAAATCAAATAATTTATTAAAAAGCTTGTTACATAATGAGTTTCGTAATTGACTGATCAGAGAGAATTGAGTATTGTGAGAAATGAAGGTGAATATTTTTCCCGATTTAAGAGAGGATTAAAACAGAAGCTATCATAAAATAAGTTGCGAAAGTCAGAAGGCAAAGTCACAAACATGAAATCATTACCTGTGTTAGTATTTGTAGCAATGGGTATCCTTACCTGTGCAGACACCACACCATCTTCTCTATACTCATAAGTCATAACTCATAAGTGAGATTGAATCAAGAGAAAGGGACCGAAAGTTTTCTTAGAAATTAATCAACAAATTAATGAATGGAAGCTATTTAAATTATTCACCATTAGTCCGATTCCGATGATTTTATTACCAATTGATTTTGTTTATAAACGCCTACATCAAGTATATGTTAATTTCATACATTTATTTAATAAATACCTTAGTCGTAGATATAAAATAAGTTATATTAAAAGAAAAATAGTCACTTTATATATATACGACAGTAATTAATCACTAGGCCCTAATAGTTGGGTGGAGAGGAGTTAAGGTAATTAGAAGCGTGAAGATCTAGGTTTATTTGATACATAGCACTTGGCAGTGCGAGTTGATGCAGGATTAATTATGCATTCATTATATATCATGCTTGCATGAAATCAAACGCATCTTTTATTCAGGTATAGGATGTTTCCTACTTTAACTTGTTTTCTTGAAAAAATGATTTTTATTTGTACGTATAAATAATTGAAAAAAGAAACTTTTATTTGTTATATCTATAATTTTGGGAAGTATCTAGAGAAGTGTGTATATGAAAAAGATCAAATATAAATTAGAGACGGATATAATTATATAAAGTGTTAGCTATTCAACGTTATTTTTTTAAAATTAATGTATACGTTTCTTTTGTTACATATACTTTTTTATGAAGAGAGAGTAATGTATACTTAAGAAAATCATCAATTATACAAATTAGAATGATAAAATAGCTGTTCTCTTTTATAAAATCACCCGTGTTAAAAATAGTTAGAATAAGTTGTAACTAGGTGAATTATTAATAATAAAGATAGAAATTAGAAAGAAAAAAATATATTTTTTAAAAATGATAAATATTTTGAGTTAGAACATATAATATGAAATGGATGAAAGTGGAGCATTAAAGTGACGCTTTGATTTCTATTAATATTAATATTTTTCTTTTTGACACATTAATTTGCATGCTTTTTATTATTAGTTAAAATTTATAAAACTTGGTAAATCTTATTTCTTATTTAATATTAAATGGATGCAGTAGTAAAACGATGCTTTGATTTCTATTAACATTAATATTTGTCTTTTTTACACATTATTTTGTACGTTTTTTTATTATTAACTAAAATATTTTAAAAATTATAAGACTTTCTCGATCTCATTTTTCATTTAACGAGTTTCACTTATAATTTTACAGTTCTTAATAAATTTTAACTTTCTATATATTATTGCTTTTAAACTAATATTTCTTTTTATTTAAACATTAGAAAACAAAAACTACTCATATTAATTGAAACAATTAGTTAATATCATTTAATTTTAACAATTTTATTTTTAAAAAACTCATCATTTCACTTATTCTATTTAATTATTTTTTAAATAAGTAATCAACGTGTAGAGAGAGAATATTATTTATACAATTTATCTTATTAATTTGTGACTAATCATCTTTCATAACCCTCATAAGAGAGTAATGATCTTGTCTTATTAATTTACAATAATAATTATTTGTTGTCTAAAATAATAAAATAGTTAAAAATTAGTACTTTACTGAAAAATAATTAATGTAAGAAATATTTTGAAAGGATGTTGTAAAAAGAGACCAACATATTTCTAAACAGGATCCAATATTTAGAGATAAATATAATAACAGAGTATGTCAGAAAAAGCATAATAAAAAAAATGTGTGAATAATACTGAATACTCCTGTTAGTATTTCTCTAAACAACTTTTAAAAAATATTTCTTTGAACAAGACTATCACTATGCATTCCATTAATTATATGCTACACTTATTGTATAAATTCATTACCCATCATCCATAGCAGGAGTAATATGTTGATTTAATTTGTATTTGGAACTAATTGTAGTTTCTGTATCTATAGTGAATTCTAACATAATTTTTAGTCTAACGTAAATAAATAATGTTATTTTAAACACGACCTTAGGGGTGTGTAATTTTCACGCTTTTATTTTCAAATAGTGGCGCTCAGAATTTGTATAAAAAAAAATTAAGTAAAGTTTATTAATTAAATAATAAGACTGAAAAACTATATTTTCTTTTATAAATTTCAACAAATAATTAAAAACTAAAAGTATTTAAAGAGTGTTACTAACATTATTTCTCTTGCAATGATTTTATCTCACTTTTAACTGTGGTTTTTAATTAGAAGTTCGTAAGTCTAACAAATTCAAAACTTCAACACAGAATAACGTTTTTCTATATCAAGTTTTTTTGTTATCTAGAGTTTTTTTTTAATATACTGAGATGTACTAGTAATTAAGCTTGCTTTTCATCTTTAAAAGGGTGAGCATTGATGATAATCATGTCAAGCTTTTATCATCCGTTGTATCTTTAGTTGTGACGTTTTATTCAGCTAAAGTAGCTTTTCATTTCTACATCTAAAGAAATGCTGTTTAGCTGTTGAAAAAGTTTTGTACGGGAAACTCTTCAGTTGCTTAACTGGTAAGCGATTCTCAATATTACTCCTTGTTTTTCTATGTACAAAACAAAGAGAAGCTGTGAAAACAAGTTTTGTGCTTGTGCTATTGATTGATCAGTAGAACTAAGGAGCAAGGATGAAAAATCATCAGCATGCAGACTTGTTAGATATTGTATTCTCCTGGACTCTGGAGGATGTTCTCAACGAAAATCTTTTCAAACGCAAGGTATTTTTTCCCCACTTAATTTGAAATATTCTAATATAAAAAGCCACACCAGTCCTTTAATTTCCTTCTTTTTCTATGTCCTTATAAAGGAAGGTTAAAACTTAAAACATTGTTTTCTCGCAGGTGAAGAAGATTCCACAGACATTCTTGTCAACCAAAGATTACATGAATTCCTTCATTCCTGCATTGATTGAGGAAACACATAGTGATCTGTCTACAAGCCTTATAAGTGTGTCTCAAGCTCCTTTTTGTGAAATCATGACACTTGAAAGGTCTAGGGACTTTGAACTTCCCAATGACTTGTTCTATCAGATTTCCTTGAAGAGTACTAGTTTTGATGTGAATGGTGTACGAAATTATGAACCTGAGGTTGGAGATCTCATTGCATTCACAAGTATAAGACCTAGAAGCATGGATGACTTGAAGAAGACCAAAAGACATTTCCATATTGCTTATGTTACAGGGCCTCGAGATATATTTGATGAGATCCCTTTACTGTCATCTATGATCTTAGATAATGATGTTGGATTTGACTCGAAGAGTAACAAAAAACAAAAGCTTTATGCAGTCTATCTCTCGAACATGACAACAAATATTCGAATTTGGAGAGCCTTGAACTTACAATTGGAGGGTGCATATATTAGCATATTTAAGAAATTGCTAAAAGCTGATTCAAAGGTATGAATTAATCACCAAATCATTCATTCTTGATAAGCTTCTCAGTTATTCAATAACTTAAAGTGATGCATGCTATTTACACATTTCGCAAACATTAACTTGAAGTGATTTGAAAGTGTCGTGCATTCTTGTGAAAGTTGCAATTTATGTTTATTTTAATCTCTGTAAAGCTAGACTTGCCATTATGCATGGCATTGAAAAGAATATCCAATGGTGCAATTATGATGGAATTGCTTAACTCATTTTTGGTGGGTTCTATAATGTCACATGAAATTTAAGAACTTCATTTTTCTGTACAATGGTGCAATCCTTAAAAAAAAAATTAAAATGAGTCCTACAATTGTCTAACAATACTTGAGAACTATAAAGAACGATGCTTATATAAGAACTATCACTCGATTGTTCATATAAAGAACGTTGCTAGCAATACTAGAGAACTAAAAAGAACGTTACTTATATAAGCAACAGTTCTTATAAGAACTATATCACTCGATTGTTCCAATGGTAAAACTATAATTCTATGTTTAAGAACCCCATGTACAACTTTTATTGAAGCTGCTCTTAATATTAGTTGTTGTTCTTAGATTTTTCCTTGCTCTTAAACATAGTTATAAGAAAGAAACATATTTCATGTTTTCTTTGCATTTTACAGAGCGGAGAAAACTGTGGCGTGTGCTTGTCTGGAGAAAATCGTAGCCTAGCCTATTCTAGTGTGCAAAACACAATCAGTGCTCAGAATCTGAATGAGTCTCAAAAGGATGCGGTTTTAAGTTGTGTCACAATGAAGAAATGTCATCATAATGACACTATTAAACTTATATGGGGGCCACCAGGGACTGGCAAAACGAAAACAGTTGCTTCCTTGTTGTTGTCCCTACTCAAGCAGAAAACTAGAACATTGACATGTGCTCCTACTAACACTGCAGTGTTGCAAGTGGCAGTTAGGTTGCATAGTTTGGTTAAGAGTTTTGTTGAGTGTGATTGTGAGACATATGGGCTTGGTGACATAGTGTTATTTGGCAATAGTTCTAGAATGAAAATAGAGACTTACAAGGGTCTTGGGAAAATATTTCTGGATAACCGTGTGAATGATTTGTTGCGCTGTTTTTCTCCATTGACTGGTTGGAAACATTACCTGGAATCAATGATCAAGTTTCTAAAGGATCCTGAAGAGGCATATGTTTTATACAAGCATGGTGTGGAGGTGGAGAATCTCATGTCAATAGAAAAATTTGCTAAGCAAAGTGGCATTAATGTAGAACTTGCATATAGTTCATACAAGAAACGTGTCAAGAAGCATGATCCTATGACATTAGAACAATTTGTGGAGAAAGAATTCCCTTATATTGCTGAGCAATACCTCATGTACAAGGATGATGAAAAGTTGAGTGCTGGTATGACAATAGAGCAATTTATAAAACATAGGTTCAGTTTCCTTGGAGAGAAGCTCGAGTTGTTCATGAGAACATTGTACACGCACGTACCAACATCTTTTATTCCATTAAAGGTGGTGAAGAGCATGTTGAGAGCTCTGAAATTGCTTAAATCTCTTGAAATTTCCATGCAGTGTAAACAAAGCGTTCTTGGCCACTTTGGATGGTTAGGCTTCGAAAGAGATGAATGCCTTGGCATCCTGAATTCTCTTTCTAAGTCAATTTCACTTCCCAACAACCTTAGAAACAAATATGGAATATCAAAGTTTTGCTTGATGAATGCGTGCTTAGTTTTTTGTACAGCATCAGGTTCTTCTAAATTGTACTCTGAAGGAATGACACCATTCAAATTTTTAGTAATTGATGAAGCTGCACAACTAAAAGAATGTGAATCAACCATTCCATTACAACTGCCTGGCCTCAACAGTTGTATCCTAATAGGTGATGAGAGACAACTTCCTGCAATGGTCAAAAGCAAGGTACTCGAGAGTTGTTAATATTATCAATATCATTGTTATGTGATTTGGTTGTGGCTATTTAAGATTTTTGTCTAATGTGTATAAATTGGTTTAACTTTAGATTGCTGACAAGGCTGAATTTGGAAGAAGTTTGTTTGAGAGGCTGGGATTGTTGGGGTACAAAAAGCATATGCTTAATGTTCAATACAGAATGCATCCATCCATTAGCATGTTCCCAAGTAAAGAGTTCTATGATCAGCAACTCTCTGATGCCCCCACTGTCCGAGAAACAAGTTATGACAGACGTTTCCTTGATGGAAAAATGTATTCTTCCTACTCCTTTATTAACATACCTAAGGGTAAAGAGCAGTCTAATCATGACCACAGTTTGATGAACAAAATTGAGGTTGCTGCTATCTCTGAGATTATTGGATGCCTTAAAAAAGGTCACTTTCTCTTTCTACCTCTCCTTCTATTGTGTCATTGAGTGCGTGTCAATCTTACAGTCATTTAATCACATATTAACGTATATGATAAGTTTGTTTATTTTTATAGTAATTTCTTTATAAGTCATATTTTGAATAATTCTTATTAATTGACAGTACAAAAGTCTTTATACTGATAATACATGAAACTAAAATGTAGTGTATATATGCATTACATGATTAACGTGAATTCCTTTTTAATTTTTTCATGCAGAATTTTTTAAGACAAGGAAGAAAGTTAGCATAGGAATCATATCTCCATACAAGGCTCAAGTTTCTGAAATCCAGAAGAAAGTTAAGAAGTACACTTCGGTTTCTGATTCTCATTTCTCTGTTACTGTTCGTTCCGTTGATGGTTTTCAAGGTGGTGAAGAAGATATAATAATATTCTCCACTGTGAGATCTAATGGGTGTGGAAAAGTTGGTTTTCTTTCCAATAGACAAAGAGCAAATGTTGCTCTGACTAGAGCTAGGTACGTTACTCACATATTTTGGTTCTTTCATGCTCTTTCCAAGTTATAAATATGCAATAGAAAATTGATCTTTTTTCTTCTTTTCAATGCAGATATTGCCTTTGGATATTAGGTAATGCAGCAACTTTAATCAATAGCAACTCTGTATGGAGAAAGCTAGTTCTTGATGCTAAGAAAAGACATTGTTTCCACGATGCCGATGATGACAAGAATTTGGCTCGTGCTATTAAGGATGCTGTGTTTGAACTTGAACTGCTTGAATCAGAGTCACGGTTTAAGAAACTCAATCTAGGGGAAAAGTCAGAAATAGTGACTAATTTATCCAGGTAAGTGGAGGAATAATTTTTTATGAATTATTCATATAAATAATATATAATCCAATAACACAATTTGATATGAAGTAAATTTACTAGCATCATGTAAGATTGTTGGTAACTAAAAGCATGTAAAATCATTCCTCTTCATTAAATGTTGCACTGTGGTTATCCATGTATATATTTCTCTTGCATATGTTAGATTGGTTGCAGTGCTAGTTTCAGAACTTATGTTAGAACAATTTTAAGAGTTTCTGTCTGTGGCAGGTCTCGGAAACCAAGGTGCTTGTTGCATTAATTGCGAGGAATCCGATCTGTGATAAATTAAGACATTGAAGCAGAGCTGATATGGACGTACAATCCTGATTCTTGAAGGAGTTCATCACATTTTGAATTCGTGTATCAGTGACATAACATTCGGTTGTGTTGTTATTTAAGTTTGTAATTTTAGTAACTACAATTACGAACATATTTTTGCCATATATATAATCATACACCAGTCACTTTGGGGAATTTGATCTATATGTTCACACTTTTTTATCAAATTTTCTACTACACAACTGTGAAGCTTCATTTCTACTCTTTCATTTGTGAATATCATTATTAATGGCTACTCAGCTTCTGTAGTAGTTCTAAATCTGTTCTTTCATTTGCAGACACAACGTAAAAAAGTTGTTTCTGGTTGTGTATAAAGATTTACTCACATCTCCACGATAATATAATATCGTTTGCTTTTTTATAATATCGTTTGTTTCACTTATAATCCAAACATAGCAATTCCCTTTCTTTCTTAATTTCGCAAATTACATCCTTCTATTTTTCATGAATTTAATCCATCAAATTGTACAATTTTAAATTGATTGTTAACTTAACGCCCAGTGTTAAAAAAATAAAAAAAAATTAATGAGACAGTGTAGTAGATTATCACATCAAAGTTTCTCAAATATAAAATATTATGTTAACTGATGAACTAAAGTGGTACATTTAAAATAATGAATGGATCCGATTTACACAGCGAAAAAATAAGAGACATGAAAATTCAGGAAATTTTAAAAATACAATTAAGCTAAAATAGAACATGTGTAATTCATCCACAATAATAAGTAAGTTTTTTTCCTTTAATTAAATTTCTTTTTAAAAAATAAACTCTAATGTATAGTAATTTATTGTTAATTTAATTTTTTTAAAAAAGTAAAATAGTTAACTTAAAAAAGATAGTAGAGCATAAAATTTAGTCCTCCCTTGGATTCAATTTGTTTAATAAGATTTAAAGATATCGTGAACGGCAGGATTCGAACCTGCGCGGGCAGAGCCCACATGATTTCTAGTCATGCCCGATAACCACTCCGGCACGTCCACTTGATGTTATGAATGTAAATAATTTTATTATTCAAATCCAATTAGTTTTAAGCTGACACAATTAGAAACTTAGAAGTATTCCCTTCATTCTAACAATTTTGCATGGATGATTGGTGAATCAGGACTAAGGTTTTTTTTTATTAAACTAGTGTAATTTTATTTTATTTTATTAAATTAATGTAAGTTATTAAAATATAATTATAAAGTATGATATTTTTTTATACTAGTAATTTATAATAGTTTATAGTTAAAAAAGAAAAGCATTTGTCCCAGTTTATAACATTTAAATATTATTGTTAGAGGCCATTACCTACGTAAAAAAATAAATAAAAAGTAGAGTATGTCTTATCCTATAGTGGTAAATTTTACAAAATTAAAATTGCATTACTTAATAATTTTTTTAAAAAAATTATCTTGTATCGGTAAAAAAAATCTTAAGGCTGAGTTTTGTGGCATGTTTATTTAAATTTTTTTAAATAACTTAATCATGACATATATTAATTAGCCCAAACTTAGGGTGTGAGTGGAGGCTAATCTACAATTTAAGACAAAACCTTTTAAAAATAATTTACAAAAAAAATGATTTTATTTGAAATTCATCTTTCAAATTTTTTTGAATGTAAAATTACTTGTTAAAATATCACGATCAGTTTTTTTTAACAATTTATTTTCAAACAATAATAAAGTTAATTCATTTAATTTTTTTAGTAGTAAAATTTATTAATTGTAATTTTGAAAATTTTCTTTCAACTAAAATAACAATTACTACATAAAATTATTAACTTTGTTTATAAGCAATATATATGTATTAATAAAAGAATAAGTCTTATTGTGTACTTGAATATGTCAAGAAGTATTTCAATTCATTTTCTGCTTATATAATTTCTTTTGAAGCTTCAAACTTTATGACTAAATTTTTAACTTATTTCAAATACAATACATCGTTGTATTATTGACAAGGGGCAAATATAGGACGTTAAGAAGTAAAGGAGATTAAATGAATTGTGAATTGTTTTAGTTTTTTTATTTATTTTAAATATCACTCATAATTTAAGATTGTTAGTGAAAGTAAAACAATCTAATATCAATAGATTTATATATTTGATAAAAATTGATTAAATAAAAGTAAAATAATGAAAAAGTGCATATTTTAAAGAAACTAAATAGATATAAGTGCGATACATAAATTATTTTGACAACCTATATAATATAATATTTAATTCTTTGTCATAATAATTATCATATAATTTGAAACCTTTATATTATATATGTGTAGAAAATTATTATTAAAGTAATATTATAATTTCTTTACCCAAAAACTAATATTATAATTTAAAAGTTATTTTATTTCATCAACATAAATTAATCTCATTACTTTTTATTAAACAACACAATTATTATATATTTTAAATAAAATTAATTCAATACTTATTTTATTTTATTGTAATTTTTTATTTACATATTCAATTTATTACTTTCTTCTTTTATCTTAGAATTTATACTTCTTTTGAATTGAGGCTGAACATTTTATTTTTATTAATTAATCAAATAAAATAATAATGTAAATACAACAACTTCAATAATTACTATTATTAATAATAATGATTTAAAATTATCACAATTTTTTAATTTTATAAAAATATAAAAATCGCAATGAAACATAATAATCGACACTCTTCTAGCGACATAACTTAAACCACAATGAAAGTGAAACAAAAAATAAATTATCATTAAAAATTATAGAAAAAATGAAAAAGTGAAATAACAAATAAATCTTGAGATGAATGTCGCCAACAAATTGTAATGATGATTTTTTTGGTATTGCTATTTATATTTTCATTGTAATCAGTTCGAAAGAATATAAAGAAAATGTGTAAATAACCAAAATATGAAGAATATTTATGTTCATTATAATTTTAACTTAACTTTCTATTCATATAGGGATAGATAGAATAATTGATTTAAAAAATGAATTATAATTGTATATAAATTGGATTTTATAGCATGAAAACTCATTAAAAAGAAAAGAATCATAAAATTAATGTCACATATTCACAAATATATAAGAATTGGAGGATAAAGAAGAAAAAAAACATATTGACTTGTGCCCTCACTCACTTTCCAAACTAGTAAGTTAAAGAAGATTAAAAAAAAAACTAGAGAAAATCTATTATATATATTTGTATATTATAAAACATTATATAGAGAGAATATTTTCTTTATTAACTATTTTTAGTTTTTATTTTCATTAGGACTATTTATCCTTCAAAACTTATACCATTACAATTTTTTGTTTTGGTTTTCACACATTGAATCTCATGTCTTTTCCACTTTTTATTTGTTTATTTTATTTTAAAATAATTTTCTGTTTAACTGGTTCACATATTGTACCCTTCATAATTGTTCTTATCTCAAACTACGGTTTTCAATTTTTTCCTTTCAGTTTGTTGTTGCATTTTGATTATAATAATAAATAATTTTAAAAAATAAAACAATCATAACAAATGATAATTATAATTAAAAAAATATTGTCATTTCCTATACCAAACTAATTAAATTTTTAGTAAAATCATTCTACTATATTAAAGTTGAACCAAATGATATATACTTGTGAAAATAACAATATTATGAACTAAATAAATACACATTTAAATAATTTTTAATTAATTATCTTATTATCACCATACAAAAAGTTTGTATTTCTTATTCTTATGTCACATTTAAAAGTTCTTTCATCTTCATTAATTGTGTGGAAAAAAAAAACACTAGAAGGGGGTTAAATAGTATATAAACAAAATTGCATGTTTTTTATAGTGAAAGTAAAAACACTGGATGAAGCAGGAAAAGTAGTCAGATGGTATACTGAGTATTTTTATACCGATTCGCATTAATCACTGAGACTACATCTAGTTCTCAATCCAACCAGATTGGGTTCCACTATCTTTAACAAAGATATATATAATATTCTTTTAATAAGTCACTTTTGGTTCAATTCTAAATATTTTTTAACTTGTGTCTTCAAGCAACTATCCAAGTATTCTTTTAACAACAAATCTCTCTAGACTTAACAACCAAATATCCTTTTATATTCAAGCATCTCTAGGCTTAAAAATAAATATTCTTTTTCAGACAAGTCTCTCTAGACTCTAGAACAAGTATTCTATTTTAGACAAATCTCTCCGAGCTCAACCTTATAACAATGGTTATGAAGGTTACAAAGAAGTTGTGTTTGTCTCACTAAGATGTTATACAACCAATTACAGATCAATGAATGTTTATAAGAAATAATAGCTTTACAGACAATGAGTTTCTATACAAATGTATCTATATAAAATTAACATCTCTATATTTTTTTTGTGCTTTGAAACTTCTTATATAGTAGCTCGAAGAAGATGACCATTTCAATACTTTGAGTCTAGCTTACAAGTTTGTTTCATTTGTCTTCATCGTCTTTATATGATCCTAGGTGACTATTCGACTCATTTAATGTGAACATTAAATATATTTTACCAAATGGTACCTCTTATCTAATCAAGGAGACTACTTGTGAACTTTTGATGCCAAACGGAACTTGCAAAAGTAACGTTATCATAGAACAACTATAGCAGTGATTTTATCTAATTTTCTTTCTAATTTTAGGGATTTGGTTTTGACATAAAGCATTGTTTTTCTCTTTAATAGATTTGTGAGTTTCAAAAAGAATTTTTGATTTGACCTGTTAAAGAATGAAGCATTTTCAAAGAAAACATTGCCATTAGTCTCAGTAAATGATAAATATTTAATGTATATGAAACATGTTGTATGTGTCTTATAAATGATCTACGTTTTGCACATCATTTGTGCTTTCAAATATACGTTTCAAATACATTTTTGCAGATATTTATTCTATATAAAAAATACTTTATTTGTTAGCATTAAAACTCTTAGATTAGGGGGTCGTCTTTAACTTAACAAATTAATTTCAATTTGTCAAGGTCTTCTTCATGAATAAAATCTCTTACGAAGTTTGCTCACATATTTTGCTCATCAAATGCTAAAAGAAAATGATATCAAATATATTAAAAATATACTAATTTATAATATAAATTTACAATAATTTACATATTAAAAATTGTAAATATAGTTTTTTATTATATATATAAATTCATAATAAT